TACAGGTGCCTAATTTGATTCACAAGAGAGGTCTTTTTAGATCAGTCAGTGTAAAATGCAGTCTGTAGTGTGTAGTTTATACTGAATGTTTCTTGGATAAAATATTGGTGTCAAGTTTTAAATGTCTGTGAAATAATTTGACGGTAATGGAGCTGAATCTGTATTATTTGTATTTGAGTATTTACTTCATGAAAAATCTATTGAATGATCATTCCTACTGGTGATTATTTAAATAACTTTTGTGAAGTACTAAATGAGGTCACTAAAGCAGTAAAGTGAATGTCATAGCAACTTACAATAATATACCATAGAAGTGTTAAGTTTTCAGTCATCAAATTGATATTATAAAAAATTGTAAATAATATGTTTACTGTTGTTAAAAGTAACAGTTTAATAAATCTACACTATTCATTACAATATCCCAATTTATTTACAACTTAGTGTTAACACAAAGCATGCTAAATCCTGTCAGTAAAATCTTAAAATTATGATAAACCTTAATTATTTCAATAAAAATTATATTATAAATGAATAAAATGAAGAAATGTGCAAACCAGAACTTGTTGAAACATATACTGCTCTGTGCAAGGTTTGAATTTTGGAATTTGCTTCATTCATCTGGAAATCATATTTGTAATTTGATAAAATCCATTGATAATTATAAAAACAATAAACATTTTAAATTAATTTAAAAGTCATATTTACCAGGATTGTCCTTTTGTATACAATAGGATTATGAATACATAAAAAATAAATATAAAAAGAATAAAATAAGTGGCCTATGTATGAATTCATATCAAACATAACATAATAACTAAAAATAATAGTTATTAGTTTTTCAGATAAAAAATGGTTCACTTGTTTAAGTACTTAAGTTAAATGCATGAATGTTAAAATCAGCTTGCTTATATAAAGAAATAGTCAGAATATTATTATACACATGTTTTAAATAAATTTTAACTAAATGAAATATTTATTGATGTTGATCAAAGTATTTTAAAATCATGGATGTCATCTGATAGCTTTACATTAAATTCAATTTCAACATGTTTGAACAAATTTCTCAATGTATGATTACTTCAGATGTAACGTGGATTATTTATTTGTAACAACTGGTAATGCTAACACTAATCTTATCAATTTATGAAGGTGTATTCTTTGAACATGTTGACCAACTGCTGTAACATAATTGTTTCAAAGTATTTTCCACTGGGAACATTTTTCATAACCATTAGCTATTAAATGTTATGCTCTAAAAGTAATCAGAGCATAAAAAGAGCAAG